TTTTTTTTATCGGCTCTGTAAGAATAAAGTAAATTAACACTGAAATGTACGTACACTTACATACATTTATAGATTTCTAATTTATTGCCTAAATGCATATACATACGAATGTAGGTGTAAATTCTGTAGTATTCCAATTTTGTCAAGCAAATCCAAATAAGAGGACTACCACCATAGGATTGGTAATACCGCTACAAACATAAATTGTGTAAGAGTATACTGTACATTTTTTGGTCCCAATTTTAGGAAATTCTTTCTACTATTGACCGAATTGCGGCTGCAGCGGTTTTCGGGTTTCTCCAGCTTCCATTTCATCGTTTGACTCTTGATTGCATTCATTGCTGCAAATGGGGATAAAAAGCGCAAACACAAAGTGGAGATGTTATTGGTGAAAAGATACCAAAGGCGGCATCGTGGACCAATGGAATTATTTAACTTTGGAAAACAGCTGTGTCGGGAAGACGTGGACAATTACCGACTGCACAAACTGGGAGCTGCTGTGGTGCTGCTCTCTTCACCGTTGGATTGTCCACGAACTAGCCCCCACGCCCAGATTCCTAGGCACGTCAACGGTGAGCAGAGCCAGTTACAACATGATCGCATGATGCAGATCCTGAAGTTCGAGGGGATATCTCTCCTCGAAAATTGCCCCATGAAAACATTCTGGTAACAACAACAAAAATGGACATTACGGCGGATTGGGTTCTCAAAAGACATCAAATAGCCGGTACTACCGGTACGTATGCCGCCACAAAAAATTGCTACAAGTAATCCATTTTTTCACCGTAAAGGCTTGTATACTTGGATCTGGTAGAGTATCTTGTTCACCTTCCACTCCGTCTGTAGACGTTTGATTTTTTTTTTTTTTGGGGTAATAAAAAGTTTTGGGTGACTTTAGTGGGCATATCTCCGAAATCATAGATGGCTTATATGTATATCTACAGAATATTCATCAATACAACTCTCACGTTGACAACAAAATTCTAACACAATTTTTTTTTAAAATGAAGAAGTTGTCCGTTCTTGAACCTTTCACACTTGCAACCTCGGCCACCATCCCTCAATCCATCCAAGGGTCACACAAACTTCTCTTCAGGCGATGGAGCAGCCAAAGCCCACCTTCCAAATGCAGTCCATTTTTGGCTGGTACTGGTGGTCCGTATTTTAGTTCTGGTACCACGTTAAGGAGCATCTTTTTGTTGTCTCTGGCAGCAGAAGCAGACCAAAGGTAACCACCATCGAACTACAATAAAATTGTTGAACCGTGATCACAGTTCAGAACTGGTGTGGTACAATTCTAAAGTCGTACTTGTTTAGACTTCTGGGGCTTTGCGAATTGTAATGAATACTGATCAAGGTTGTTGCTTTGGTTTTGACTGACGGATCGGAAGGTTCGAGCCGCTTCAGAGGATGGAGGCGAGTCTCTTGACGCTGAAGCAAACTATCAAGAGGAATTTTCCTGGTCTTCAGTTATTTTACCGTAAGTCAATTGTTTGCAGATTTCTACTTCTGGAAGATTTTAACTGTTGAAATTTCGTATTTGTGACTAGTTAATTGGCAGTTCTCAATTACGTACGCATTGCTCGTGGATAAAATGCATTCCTCCTGATTCATGTTTGTCCGATTATTTGGCTGCAATTCTTGACGAGGATTGCTAATTGATTGACTGAACCCGTTTACATGGTCTACCCTCTGACCAATCGAATGCTTTCGTGTCTTTCAACCCGCAACTTTTTATATGAACCCAGCTATTCTCGATTCTGAGATCTGATTCATTGCAGTATTAAGTTCGTTTTCAATATAGTTATCTGATGTACTGGATAATGTAATCCATGTTTTAGGAGGGCATAAGTGTCTAGAGGTGTATGTTTGTGGGATTTGTATAAAGCTGGAGTTGGTAGGACTTATTTCATGCAGCTGGAGTTCTACACACACTGATAAAATTTTGGTAACTGGTTCAGCAAATTAACGATAATTGGGTGTATTGGACAAACATATCCTTTGTTCCCCCCAAATTCACGTCATAAATATTGTAAAAATGCTGAAACTTGATTTTTCTTGCCAATTTGAACCGCATTAATCCCAGTCACCTTTTGAAATCATATACCAGGTTTCTGTTCCCAGCTTGGTGTGTTTATTATTTGGCTATGACATTGGCGCAACGTCTGGTGCGACAATCTCCTTGCTGGTAACTTACTGCTGTTCACAAACATTTTCCTGTCCCTCTTTTGTTCCAAACACTACTAACTGTCATGGCGATTGTACTTTGGAAGACTCTTTTTACTTTTCCACTATCATTTTGCAGTCACCTGAGCTTAGCGGTACGACGTGGTTCAACCTTTCGGCTGTTCAACTAGGCCTTGTGGTAGACTTTGCAATCATGACAATTCTGCTTCATATTATCTAACTCTTATTTCATGGAGGGTAAATGCTTGTTCTTCATTTCTTTTGATTTTAGGTTAGTGGTTCCCTTTACGGAGCTCTTCTTGGTTCCCTCCTCGTTTATCCTCTGGCAGATTTTCTTGGTATGGCTCTTGCCTTGTTATGTGGCTATTATGCTAGAACTACCATATTAACTGTCTATATTACTTTAATTTCTGAAGGAAGGAGGAGGGAGCTCGTCATGGCAGCCATTTTGTATGCAATTGGCAGTGCTTCAACAGCCTATGCCCCTGGTCTGGCTGTTCTCTTACTTGCCCGGCTTGTTTATGGACTTGGAATAGGCCTAGTAAGCTTCTTTGAGTTTTCAACCTCTATCCTTCCAAAATCCTAAAGGACTAATAATATCCTGAAATTTGACAAGCATGCTAATCAGTTGTGTTTGACAGGCAATGCATGGGGCTCCTCTTTACATAGCAGAGACTTGTCCAGCACAAATTCGGGGAACTTTGATATCTTTGAAAGAGCTGTTCATAGTTCTGGGAATTTTGGTAAATTTGCCATTTTGATGCTCACATCCATTTTTGTTTTGAAAAGAACATGGGGGTGTTAATAATTGCTCTTTCTGCAGCTGGGTTACTTTGTTGGGAGCTATGAAATTATGTCGTTGGAGGGTGGCGTTACATGTATGGACTAAGTGCTCCTATTGCATTGCTTATGGGGATAGGCATGCTGTCTCTTCCACCATCTCCCCGGTGGTTACTTCTCAGGGCAGTTCAAGTAAAGGGCCCTTACAAGAGTTGAAAGAAAAGGCAAAACATGCTTTGAGCAGACTAAGAGGCCGAGCTGCAGGCGATAAAGTGTCTGAAAAGCAGATAGAGGAAACCCTTACCTCATTGAAAACTGCTTATGCTGATCAACAATCTGAAGGGAGTGTCCTGGAGGTGTTTCAGGGTCCAAGTCTGAAAGCATTTATAATTGGTGGAGGCCTGGTCCTTTTTCAACAGGTGATGAAAATCTTCTTTCAATTTGTTCTCTGCATGATATTATCTTTATTCTTTTTCTTTTCTATATTCATTGGGGTTAAATAAAAGTTATCCTAACAGCAAGTTTACCAAATTGTTATTACAGATAACTGGGCAGCCAAGTGTTCTGTATTATGCTGGTCCAATTCTTCAGGTGGTTTGCTTTTTCACCCTGTTATTATTTATCCATTCATTTGCTGCTGTTTTCACTTGACCTTATAATAATATGAATTTTTGTCTCAAGACTGCTGGATTTGCTGCTGCTTCTGATGCTACGCGTCTTTCAGTTGTAATTGGCACGTTTAAGGTGTGTCTGATCAGGTGACTGAAGAAATTTCTTGAATCTTTTCTGTTTGAGGGAAGCTTATAATTGACTTTCATTTGGTATTGTTCTGAAGTTGGTGATGACAGGAATTGCTGTTCTAAAAGTTGATGATCTTGGGCGTAGGCCATTACTGATTGGAGGTGTTGGTGGCATCGTAAGCTTTAATAAGCCCTACAGTTTTTGTTACTTTTCGTCATAGTAGGTACAATTTAACTTTCTTTTTGTTCATAGGCCTTGTCTTTGCTGCTTCTTTGGGCTTATTACGAATTTCTTGGAGGTTATCCTTTGGTTGCTGTGGCAGCTTACTTCTATATGTTGGTAGCTATCAGGTAAAATACCTCCCCCTCCCCCAAAAACACAAAAAAAAAAAAAAAAAGATGATTTGACTTATTTTGGGATGCATTAAATATTTACAAGAAATATGGGATTTATCAGTTGCGGTTGAAACTTTCTTTTAGCTAGTGGTCAGCTTTGCTAATTGTTCCATATTTGTATTTATATCAGGTATCGTTTGGGCCTATAAGTTGGCTTATGGTGTCTGAGATTTTCCCTCTACGAACTAGAGGAAAGGGGATCAGTCTCGCAGTTCTTACGAATTTCGGCTCAAACGCAATAGTAACTTTTGCTTTCTCTCCACTGAAGGTGACTTAAACTCTTCCCAGAAACTTGTTACTCTCAAAGCTTGGATTCATGATTCATGTTTCCGGTTCTCTCTTTGACTGATCCATTCTGTCATTATCTATTTCTGCAGGAGTTGCTTGGGGCTGCTAATCTTTTTCTTCTGTTCGGTGCAATTGCTCTATTGTCGCTTGTGTTTGCGGTGGTGTATGTCCCTGAGACCAAAGGCTTGAGCTTGGAAGAAATCGAGTCCAAAATTTTAAAGTGAAGGCTTAATGCGTCAGGATCTGTGATTACTAGATTCTAGTAACCTAACAGTTCTCTGATTTGTAGATATTGTGTGACAACCTTGCAGTGAAGACTTGGAAATGAGATGTACTCATTTAGATGCCATGATACGAGGTATTGTTCAAACCTTTCATTTTGATTTCTAAGGACTTAACTGAGAGACCATCAAAAATTTTTAAGGACATCTCACCAACCCTCCCTCCGTAATATCTCAAAATCTTCTGGTTTACCTTACAAACGATCAAGATCTCATCCATGGGTAGAATACTACTCCTTATTACTTGCCAAAAATCAAAGAAAAGGAGTCTACACAAATATCCACCTGGGCCTTAATTCAATTCAATTTATATTAGGATGCAAGGTTCTTCCCCGACAATCTTATGCTTTTTATTTAGGCAATGAATAGTAATTCGATTCTGTGTCACTTTAAGATGAAATCATTCACTTCAAAGGATGATTATACAGCACAGATGCAATTATCACAACAAAGAACCCACATCGGCTGAAGTCCTCTTGTTGTCTATTTGTCTAAACAACTTGGCCTACAGACCTAATTAAGAATGCAGACACATCTGCAGTGACCAATAATGTAACTAATTTCGGACTAAAATGGCAGATCCATCAGTACTAATGGGTACAAAATTCCTACTAATGGTGCTGTAAAAGCAACTTATTTCTGGTTGACCAGCTTATGATTGCACAAGGTCCCACTAAAGGAGATTCAGGAAATAGCTGGTAATCAATTTGCACCTGACCAAGAGTTGGTCTTCAGTTGGCTTGAAGTATTCTTCCATGAGTTTGCTCCTCAAGATCTGCAACCAAAATTTCATCGGAGATCAAAATGAATTTGAGTAACGAAATAAAGAGAAAAATAAATCCTAAGGATTCCGGAAGTTTTGCAGCATCGATTTAGTGACTGACAGCCTGCCAGGATTAGGACCCTGGCTTTTGTTCATATAGTTTGAGGATAACTTTTTGGGCATTCAGCAAATTACGGAAGCCAGGCAAGTATTCTGGCTGTATAACTATTATTCAACTAAAGTTCCTAATTCATAAAACAGGAGCTAACCTTCTTGGGCATTAGTAGAGACTGGAACGAGGGGAGATGAACTTGCGCTGTGGAAGACAGGGACCTGAGGCGTTAAGCTTGTGCTGCGGAAGAGGGGAAGTATGACGACGGATTTACATTGGCAGAAGAGGTGGAAGTTGGTGATGGAACTTCTGTTTTGATCCATAGGGGATTGTGTGATATCAAATATTCCGCTTTCATCGTCTCCCTGGATGGTTTTCCTTTAGAACTTGCGCCACGGGGGCTGGAAACATGTGACAATGAACTTGCATTGGTAGAAGAGATAGAATTGAGTGGTGGAACTTCGGTCCTGATAAAAAGGGGAACTTGTGGCGACAAGTTTGCTGCCTTTGCTCTCTCGTTCCTGGGTTGTTCCATAAAATTTGCACCTGGGGAGATGGGGGCATGTGAAGGCGTGTGTGCACTGGTAGAAGAGTTGGAATTTGGTGGTGGAACCCCTTTCTTGGTAGAATTGGGAAGATTTAATGACAAATTCGCCGGTTTAATTGTCTCCTTGGATGGTTCTTCCCTAGAGATTGCCCTGGGGGACATGGTGACCGGAGACGAATTTACATTGACTGAAGAGAGGGAATTTGGTGGGGAAACCGGATTATTAGATGACAAACTTGTTGCCTTGCTTGGGTCCCTGTGGAGTTTTTCCACAGTGCTCTCACCAAGAGACTTGAGGTTTGGCTGTGGAGGTGAAGCTTCTGTTTTGGTAGTAGAAACGGGAACGTTTTGAGAAAATTTGTTCCCTTGATTTTCTCCGTGGAGGGTTCTGCACAGAGCCTTTTGAAGCAGAGTGAGGGTGTTCATCATGTCGAAGAAATGAAGTTACAGCTTCTCGCACTTTTTCCACCATGCCCATATCACGAGGACTCTTTCTTGGACTTATTGCCTCAGATATGGCCTGAGAAAGTGCTCTGTCATCTTCCAGGCTCGATCTTGTTCATGAAATACTCCTTCACAGAAACACCTTTGTCCCACTTTGTGGGCTCAATTACCCAGATGTTCTCTAATCTCGGAGCTCCTGTCAATATTCTTGACATCGTCAGCAGGAAGATGCTCCGTATCCGGATTTGCATGTTTCTCTTGGTCCTCAGGGCTTGAAATAGTCAACCCTGCAATCTTGGAAGCAATTAATGAGTGGCATCGCTGACCTTAGCATATGCTGGTGCGAGTTTCTCAGACACGGTTTCAGTGATGGTCTTGCTTACAGCAGCAGCCTTATCTTTCCCTTCATCTCCATCTTCGTGTTTGATGCTGGTTGGGAAAAGGTGCTTCTCAGAAACAACTGGATCTGCTCTTGGATGTTGCCTTGCAGTTTCTCTATAAATTTCGGTGCTAGCTCTGATTCATACACTGAAAATCAGGTAGAAATATTCTTAATGAAATGAAGCCAAAATCAGGACAAACGTATATTATAGTGCATTTATAATGTTTTATATTTAGATTAAACGTCTGAACAAAGAATAAGTATATCATGAAGGGCCATAGATAGAGGATACTTGGAGCTCCAAGATACTCAGCATCTTCATCTTCTTCATCATCATAGGAGTCGTCCAAACTAACACCCCAAGGCGGTGTAGTGTTGCCGTCCGGGGTTTCATGATTCTCATCGTCATGCTTCTTCTTTCCGCTGAATGACTGGCGCAATTTCCTAGCTCTCTCCTTGACTTTAGTCAAAACTGATTTCTTATTATTATGGGGACTCAAATCTTCATCGTGGTAGTGGTTCCTTGCAAGAGTCGGTGAGGTACTATGTTGCCATGAAGCTTCATCATCTGACAAGCAAAATCCAGCGTGAAAACCGTGCATGGTTTAAAAATTTAGCGCACAAAGTGTCATTAAAAAAAATTCAAAGAAGAAAAGTGCCAAACAAAAAAAATTCATTGCTTGGTGAATTTCATGTTTGGATTTACCTTGAAGGAGTTGCTCAAAGGTGAGGGATTGAGCTTTAGGAGTTTTCGGGGTTGGGGTCTCGGCATATTTTCTGCTGACTTCAAGTTGGGCCATCGTGCAAGAATGTAAACTTTCTGAGTGTGCTGTCGTCTTCTTCTGATGGTTTCTCCTAACTATTCTTGTTACCCATTATAATCGTCTTATGATGCTTTTCAATCCAATTTATATTCTTGTCATCCATCATAATTTGTTGTCCTCTTCTTCACTGGTTTCTAATGCTTCGCCTCCGTATTCTTGTTATCCACCACACCCTATGGTCTCCTCTTCACCGGTTCTGTGAAAGTTTAAACTGAGGGGAAATTTAAGCGCAGACAGCGTTGGTAAATGCATGGCTTTCGGGTTCCTTGTGGATTACAGAACCGTAAACGACACAAACCACAGATCATCTAACCATCCACTTTGGACGTTAGAGTACGAGGGCTCCTAGCTCTCCAAGTGGCAACAAGCTCTTGCAACAGGCTATTTTTATTTTGGGCTTCGACTTCTGTAGCAAGTATCAAGTACTTTTCCGTGTATTATGTATTCAGAATGCAAAGCACCGAACCTAGGCGATGCATTTGCCGGACCTTTTGATGGTACTTCTAAACCGAAAAAGAATACGAAATTAAAACTTTAATGCAAAGAATGAAATTGGCTGATTCTTGTTTCCGGCTAGTGAGAGTCCAACTCCAAAATCATAATACGACAGGCGGTTAGGAAAAATTTGGGTTAAAAAACATCTGTCGAGCCAAAAGTTCCCCGATTGCTGTTACTACAACTATTCTCCTCATTCCTCAAGATGGTCCTCCAAGACTAACTTCACAACACTGTCCATTAGTTTGCCTAAATTAAATGCAAGAATGTTTCCTGGGCATAATCACGCGAAGTTACCTGTTAGGATTTCATATCTTGATGTACAGATCTCCCACCCCTAATGTCATGGCTTAAACTTAGTTGCTCTTTGGAATCAAATCCAACTATATCCAGGGTTTTTCCTCACTTGTCTATCACACATTATCTTGCGGATACCAGCTGCATCATTCCAACTACCTTCACAGGCCAAGATATTTGATAGCACAACATAAGTTGCAGGATCACTTGGACAAAGCTCCACAAGCCTTCTTGCAGATCGTACTGCAATTTCTTTGTCACCGTGAACTTGACAAGCACCCAGTAAACTTTTGAACATCGAGGGTCCTGGCTGTATTGGCATGTTATCAATGAATGCCTCGGCTTCCTGAAGATGACCAGCCCGACCATACAGATCAACAATGCTAGCATAGTGCTCTAAATTGGGTGGTGGAAGGCTATCATCGTCTTTCATCAACTGAAAATACTCGAGTCCTTTATCCACCCGGCCACAATGGCTGCAAGCAGAAAGCACTATGAGGAATGTTGTTAGATTTGGTTTAACCCCAGTGGTCATCATCTCTTCGAACATTCTAATAGCTTCCTCGGCATATCCATGATGGGAATAGCCCGACAACAGTGAATTCCATGATATGACATCATGTTCATCCATCAACGTGAATACTTTCTTTGCATAACTAAGATTACCGCATCTTGCAAACATGGAAACAAGCCCATTCCGCACACAGATATTTGAAGCATGCCCTCCCTTGGTAACCAGACTATGGATCTGCTTCCCCACTTCAAGAGCTGAAATAATACCAATTGATTTCAACACACTTGCATACGTGAAAATATCAACACTGATGCCTGCCTGCCTCATCTTTGAGAAGCAGGTTAGTGCTTCCTCACCACTTCCTAAATTGGAAAAACCGGCAATGACTGCATTCCATGAGATTTGGTCCCAAAGGGTAATAGTTGAACAAACTCGATAGAATTCCTCTAAGCTACAACTACACTCTGAATATACAGTCACCAGTGTAACTGACACAAAAATATTAGACTCAAAACCTTCCTGAACTATACGACAATGGATTTCCCTGCAATGGTCTAGGTCATCAGGACAACAAAACGACCTCAATAAACTGTTATATGTCACATAATTTGCCTCAATTCCAACCCGCAACATATCCCGAAACAAAGTCATTGCCTCCAAGGAGAGCTTATTCTGTGCATAACCAGTTATCATTGATGTCCAACTGAGAACATTCTTACAAACCATTCTATCAAACACACTTCTTGAGGCTTCAATATCCAAACATTTGGCGTACATATCAATTAAACCAGTCCCCACAACAACATTAAACTCAAAACCAAATTTTAAACCCAGAGCATGGACTTGAGCCCCAAGCCAGCAATCTTCAAGCTGGGCACAACCCACAAGAGCTGCCGAAATGCTATATGGCGTCAGAAATATCCCGAATCTTAGCATTTCTGTGAATAAGTACATTGCTGTTCCAGGACAAAGGGTTTCTAGGTAACCAGAAATTAAAGAATTCCAAGTCACAGCATTTCTCTCCGGTATTTCATCAAACAAATGGTGAGCCGACACAACGGTACCACATTTGCAATACATATCAACCAAGGCGCTTGAGATATAGATATTTGAACCAAATCCCATTTTAATAACATGGGTATGCATTTGAATCCCAACAGAATATGAGCCAAATTTTGAGCAAGTGGAAATGATTCTGTTGACAATATGGGGTCTGTGTAAAAACCCATGCTGATGAAACTCAGCTAAGAGGTTTAAATCTGTAAAACAGTTCAATTGGTTGTTTCCTGGGTGAGTTGTGAAGTCTTGAAAATCACAGGAGTGGAAAGAATTTACTGGGCCTTGGATATGGTATTATGGGTTGTTACGGCGCCTGAAAAGCGATGATTGGCCACTTTCGCCGAGTTTGCCAAGGTGTACCGGAAGTGACATGTATGTGACCGCAATATCATTTTCTCGCCGTTTCCATTTTTTCTGGGTCGTGCTCGCAGCTGGCAATCGTCTACCTTTGGCTATTCAATTAAGGGTTAATTACACTTTGTCTCCCTGAACTTTGGGGTAGTCACACTTTATCACCCTTAACCTTAAAAGTTATTTTTACACCCACATTAAAATTAGTCAAGGTAAGAAATCTAATTCCCACAAAAAAAGTGAATTGTTGCCCTTTTATTTATAAAATTAGTTATAAATTACTAGTCTTTTTTTCTTGCTAAAAGATATTGATCTTCTCCATCATGTCTACTATAC